TCACACATATGCATTATTTATGTCTATTTCATTCTTCTAGCAATATCCTTTGCTAGAAGTAAATAGCCTCCCTATCTTTCTCCGTGCAAGACTACAAACTGTCAATATTCTTGGTATGATTTTAAACAAATAACAAGCAACGTTAATGAGTTAGGAATATCTATTTTGCTTTAAATCCTGCCCCCCTGTTCAAAAGGTACAGTTTTCAACTTTGACAGCATATCATTTCCTCTCTCTCTGCATCTTTGGAGACTAAAATGAATAATATTAATAATTATCATTATTATTATTGCAGGTACTACTATTATGATAGTTTAAGTAAGAGTTTGATCAACAGGCTGAACCGTAAAGAAACTACAGTAAGTGAACCAAATCAGAAAACAAATCCACCCTTGTGCATGTGCAGAGAGTTATTAGGACTTTAATTGAACTGCTTGATCGTGTTATAAAAATGCAGCCATTAACTCTGTAAATTACATCATTTCTTGGTATATAACTGTCACTTGCAAGCATTAACTGAGAAGGCCAAATATAAACATATCCTGGCCCTCTCTGTACTAATTATAGACTGTTCATCTCCCTACTGAATATAAGTTCTCCAGGGTAAGTTTTTTTCTCTCACTCATGCTATTTTTAAATTTTGAAAAAGCAGGATAGGAAGATTATTGACACTTTTGAACATTGGTGTTGGAGTATACCATGGACAGAAAAAAAAATATCATTGAACAAATCAACCCTGAGTTCCCACATGGGCACAAATGATCTGGCTCAAATTATCCTACTTTGGACACTGTATGTCAAGACCAGTGTGATCTAGAAAAGGTTCTAATATTGAGAAAGATGGAAGGAAAGTGAAGAGAACAACACACAGCAAGGTAGATGGACTCAGTTATAGTGGCAATGGTGCAATGTTGGAAGACCTGAAACACCAGGTGAGGGACAGATCTATCTACCTAGTCATGAAGAGTTGACAATGACTTGACGGCACATAATCAATCATGTTACTTTGCACAATGCTGGTTAGTTCACACAGTCTTAAATGTTTGCATCAATATATTAAACTCCATAACTGTACATCGAGTAAAGGGAAAAACAGCAATGCAATTCCCATTCACTGGCTTTACTCATTTATTTTTATAATTCAATCCTACTTTTCTAGGACACTCCAGGTCATGTATTGTGTAAACCATAACATATCTTATTTGGCAGGCATAACATGTCATACACAAATAACACATTAAGCTTGCCAAAATAACTAACTACTGAATAAGAAATGACTGTACTTAGCAAACCATGAACTATAGTATATGTTGTGTAAATCCAAATGTTATTTACTCGATAAACAATGTCTTATCACTTAATAATGTTAAGTGATAAGACATCACTTAACATGCCCCAATTCAACCAAATATGCAGTGTGGTGTGTGAAATAAGGTATGGTGAGGCAATAAGCACACTCCAAGTCAGACAAGGCTGGGCCTCATCTAAATTTTGCCATTCTTTCCCTATAGCAAAGAAGATTATTCCATACAATATGGGCAACCAGACTAAAATTGTTATTAAGGAAATCTATTCCTTGGCTTCTAAACTACAGGACAGAGATTTCATGGTGTAGCGTCAGATTACGCCAGACCAAACACAGATGAAGAGTGGAAAAGCTAGCTGTAAGTTTCCATACAGATCACACATTAAGTTTCTTTTCTTGCATCAGCCATATCTCCTTGGGGGTTCCCCCCACCCCAAGATGTTAAAAAAACCCTTTCAATTTCAATCTTAATGAGAAAAAAAAAACAATTTATACATTCATTATACTTCACTGTTAACGGCCAGTTCATAGAAAGGCTTGGCAAGTATCACAGAGTGTAGAAACACACCACAGATTGTACAAATAGCTGCGGATCGTAGTGACTAAAAGTTAGCGGAAACAAGTAGATTGTCCGATATCTAAGACTCAGTATGAGACCATGGATGATTGATGAATAAACCGTAAATTGCCTGTAATCCTCCTATTTTATTGCTCTGTGAATGCTAAATGCACTTTTGCCAATTTCTTTCAAAGACTTGGGCAGAATCAGTCGGGACGTGAGAAAATAAAGTAGTAGTAAGGACTATTTAGCATACTGTCCCCTTTCCAGGGAAGGTCCTCTGCTACAGCGGCTCCTTGCCCCACCAAGTAGTTTTCAGCTTCTTGAGAAGAAAGGTGATATTTTATTTACAACCCCACCCCTGGATCAGAGAGAATGATCTCTCCTAGCTGCCTCCATACATTCGAGAATTCCAATTTCCATGCAGCTTCTTCTTAGGATTGGGAGGCCCAAATCAGAAAACATCTAGGAGATATTGTGCTTCATCTGTAGCCATGAAGCAGCTATAGTTTGCCACATAAGGGTGATTGAACTAGGTAGGACAAGGCAAAATTCACTCTATAAATTCCTGAGAGATGCAAGAACTCCCCACATTGCTTTCCTGGTCTCTGGCTACTTTGTTATATGCAGTTATGTTTTCACAACTGAACCTCACCTCTGGGGTAGAGATGAAGGATCAGATGGCCCAAGTCTACAGAAAGAGAGTGCTCTGAACAAGTACAGAGAGCACTTCCTTCTTTCCCTGAGCACCAGCTCTCTCACAGCCCTTAGGTTTATAGGAAAGGGCTATCTATGCCAGGGAACAGGGAGGGGACCGAATAAAATCAAGGCACAACTCCCACCACATCTGCCCCATCACCTCCTACCTGCAGGGGAAGGCCAGCAGCAGTCTGTCACCATCCCCAGGGACTGCCGTGGTCCTGCCATGGGGACTTCTCCATATGGTTCAGGTTCCTCTCCTCTCCAGACATTCAGAGCAGCAAAGGGGTGGTGGTTCCTCATTCAACAGGGGCCTCTGCCCTTTGACTGACAAGCAGAGGAGCCTGTCTGGGGACAGAGTTGGTGACCTTACTGCCACTCCTCTGCATTGCAGCAGCGGGTTTTTTTTTGGGGGGTGGGGGCTAACCCAGGTTTTTCCTTGAACTACTCTCCTTCCATAAAAAAAGTCAAAGAGGCTTCCAGAACATCGAGATAAGAAGGGGGCTTTTTAGAAACGTTTTCAGTCCCTGGCACAATGCAGGCTCAATTTAGTCTTCCAAGATATGGAAGTTTGGGGATATAATCAGGTTAATGTCCACTGTTTAGTTACTTGATGGGGACAGTGATGAAATTACTACCAGTTCTGTGGGCATGGCTTGGTAGGCATGGCAGGGGAAGGATACTGCAAAATCTCCATTCCCACCCCACTCTGGGGCCAGCCAGAGTTGATATTTGCCGGTTCTCAGAACTACTCAAAATTTCCACTACCAGTTCTCCAGAACCTGTTAGAACCTGCTGAATTTCACCCCTGGATGGGATTCTCAGGTGGCGGCCCCAAAATCCCTGGAAGAGAGTGCAGTTCAGACACCAGTCCTTTAGTCCTTCCTAAAAGAAACAAGGCTTAACTGAAAATTACAGTCCCTAAAATTCTAGCTATGAGATAAACTGCCTCTGAGCATGTCTAAAGTGTTTCTCTTCATTGAAACATCTATTTCCTTGATTTTTTTAAAATTACTCCTGAGAATTGAGCTTAACAAAAGATCTAAATCAAGCCCTTATTTACTGACTTTCCTTGTATATTTTTAAATTATTTTTTGGGAACACAGCCAACACAGTTTTCCCCATCATCACTATCTTCACACCAGAAAAAGCATTATCAATTTCTATGCATCAAGACTGACGTTAAAAGCAGTAACTTTCAAAAAAAAATGTTGGTAGATTCTAACTCCTTAATTAAAAGATTTCAACAATTAGTACATACAATCATATTTCAAATATCCTGGACTACACAGCTAAGACCACAGCAGTGGATCAAAATCATTTTAATTATTTCAAGAGTTGTCAAATGTATGGCTATTTTTGCTGTCACCTTTCCACTGGAAGCCACCCAGATAGAAACACAGTCAACAGAAATAAATTTTTAAATGTTAAATTTTTAAAATGTTAAATGTTTAACATTTAAATGTTAAGTTTAACATTTAAATGTTAATTTTTTAACAACTCTTCTAAGTTGGTGACAGTACAGACTGTCATATAAAAGCAAGGAAAGAAGGATGCCTTTTCCTTAGGGCTCTGACTCAAATGCACATACTATTGAAGCAATTAATTGAGGACAACATGTGTAATGAGATTTCAATTGCACCCACCATTTACCTCTTCACTGCATCATCATTCAAAGGTATCCATCACCTTTACAGTTCTCAGTCACTCTAAGAAGGATCCATCTCTTCTCCCAAACCAGGTACTTTCTAGGTATATTGGGAGTCCAGTTCCAATGATTCTAAGCCAGCATATGGTTACTGGGGATTATACTACAGGATTGTAGTGGATTGGGGGTGGGGGGAGTTATCAGATTGGAGAAATCTGAATTAGAGTTTGTCAACCTGAAGGAAGAACACAACCTTCCTTCTGGTTGAGTACACACCAGGGGTGGGTTCCTGCCAGTTCTAACCTCTTCTATAGAAAAGATTCCACAAATCTACAGTGCCGTTTAGAACCGGTTCCAGCTCCTTCCCCGCCCGTCTGCACATCATCAAGATGAAGACCGAGAGGAGGAATTCTGGGAGTTGTGAAATCCACAAGTCTTAAAGCTGCTAAGTTTGAACACCCCTGCGGTTTTTTTTCCTAAAGGGTTAGGGGTACAAGAGTCTTG